CTTTTAACAAAACATATTTTTCTGCTTCTTTTCACATTTTGTGATTTTTATTCGATACCAGTTGGAAATTTTACCTTTTTGGGCACTGAATATGCTTATATTCCTATAAATGTTCTTAAGATTTTTTTGTGTGATGCTGTTATCTGGAAATAGTTTCATAATTTCAGATCCTGCATTTAAGGTCTAATAGTTGGGACTAGTGGAGCACTTCGTATAGAGTGAACCTTTTACTCCTAAGGGCAAAAGTCATCGAATAGGGTATTAAACTCAATATCCTGCGAATTATGAGTTGTTTGAGTTTTTTGGGTTTTTTTTAAGTCACGCTGGGGAGAACAAGTACCATTCTTAGTCCTGCATGAGCTCAAAGAAGGTTGCAACTTCTAATCCTTTCAAGTAGTTATTTTCTCAACCTCAGAGAATTCATTCACATGCTGGAGGAGATCAGCACTCAGGTGAATATTGAGAGCCCTCTCTCTGAAGACCTCCCCTCTGTGCAGCTCTGTCCTCTCCATACTCTGCTCTATTGTACTCTGTTTTGTGAACGCTAGCTGCTTTGCCTCCCTGGACCTCAGCTTTGTCTTCCCTAAAAAGCAGAGATACCATCAAGCTCTGCCTAGATTCGCCCTCCCTGTGCCAAGATCTAGCAGTAAGCTGGGTCAATTAAACGGCTCACTTTTCCTGTTTTTCACCACTTGGGGATCACTGACTTTCATGGCCTGGTAGCCAATGTCTTCATGTATTTTATTCAATATATTAGTTATTTCACTTGAGAAGGTAACTTTAATCCCTTTTACTTCATCTTCTTTGAGAGGGGAAGTTATCCAGAATCCTGTTTTAGAGTTTGCTTCCTAGGATCATCCCAATAAAAACTATTGTAAGGCTAGTTCCTGGGAACCAGATTCTGACACTCTGAGATTTGCATGCATGATATTTATTAGTGAGCGATCTGGAAAACATCCATGAGGGAAGCAGGATTGGGCAAAAGGAGAAGTTAAAGCACAACACAGTTGTAACGAGGTCTTCAACAGTCATAAGGGAAGTTCTGGAGAGAGAACCACCTTTCAAAGTCACTCTAGTCATATCCCCAGACTTACACAAGCTAGTGAGAGGTAGGTAGCTATCAATGCAAGTGTGCAATATTAGATCAGGCAAGGCAGCTTCCTCTGACTGGAGAGATGTGTACCTCTGTCCAGAAGGGTGATCTGGAAGAGTACCATGGCATATGCTACATGGGTGACTGCAACCTTGACCAACATTGTCCAAAGGCAGGCTGGTTTGTGTCCTGAATAAGTATTTTGTTACCAGCAGAAAAAGCTATAGCTCCTGCTTTAAGCAGCTTATTAAAATGGAAATTGTTTCTTAACAATATCTTACTTCCTTATCCCCCATCTTTAAAAATATCTATTTAGAATTTTCTTTCAAAGATCATTAAAACTATAAGTTCATGTTTACCCAGATAATGAGGCTTTCTGTGGCAGTGCCAGCAGATTTCGTATCTTCAGGATCCAAGTCCTTCCTAACAAGCTTAGAGATTGAATATTAGGGGGCACGACTGAATCTAAGTTTTGATTTATAATATTATTTTTCAAGGATATATAATAAACATGTTCTGAACTGTCTCTGAAGGAGGTGGTGTAGCAGAGAGCTTAGGAACCTGTATTGTGAAGCCAAACTGCTCACCTTTACATTCTAACTCCACTCCTTCTGTGTTTTGGACTTTGTGTAGTAGCTCTGACTTTTTAAAGCTCACTTTCCTTTTCTATAAAATGGGAATATTGCAATACCTTACATGGTTGTGATTATAGAGGGTGTCAGAGGCAGAAAAATGTGGTTGAAAGAGCATGGGTCTAGAGCCATACTGTAGGGATTTGACTACTTAATTTTACCACTCTCTGCCTATCTCCTTATTTACAAAAGAGAGATTAGTATAGCAAATTCCTAAGGGGTTTGTAAGGATTAAATGAGTTAATGCAGAAAAAGAGCTTAGAGGAGTGTCAAGCATATAGCAAGTGCTCAACAAATATGAGGTCTAATCATTAGGGACTTAGGGGCTTCAAAAGTTTGAACTGAATTTGATTAAAGAAGAGTAGAACAGTTTCTGTTTTTGAGTGACCCTACAGTCTAGCAAAAGGGAAGTGCCAGGGCATAAGAAATGATAAAAATAAGGCAGAATGTTACAGGGATTTTAAAATACAAGCAAATAAAGCTCTGTGGAAAATGAAGGAGAAGGATATTAATTTCCATGGAAACGTGAAAAGAACAGAACTTGAAATGACAGTTAACCTCAACCTTATGCAGAACGTGTAGAATTCACTTTCTCATTTAGTGGTTAAATTCCAAGCAACTTTATAATTGATCTAATTGCAAAGAGGTGGCTGAGTAGCACCATCTGTACCATTTCCTACTGCCGTGGAATCAAGTGTGTGAAGCTACCTGGAGCTTTGACTTTAAGAAACAGACTTCTGTCCCTCTGCTCACCACCTCCCACCCACAACTGGACCCAGTTCCAGTTATCTAGGACTCCCAGTGGTGGAGGGAGAAGTGGTTACCAAAACTCACTTCCCTATTTAGGCAGATCCCCAGGCAGAGAGACTCCTCCCTTTTAGGTTTCTGCTGACATGGGGAAGTGGGTATTTCTAACCACTTCCCTATGGAACAGGAGCTACTGCTGCCTTAAGGAAGTAAGTATAGATTGGAGAAAGACTCTACTTTGGGTAGCACTAACAAAATGCAAGCCCTGTGTCTCAGCCTTCAGAAGTTGTTAAATAGCAAGAGAGTGTGGAAGTTCTAAACCTGTGCCCAGGGCAGTCAAGGTCACAGCCTGAACTGTTAGCCCAGGGTATGGGAGACAGCACAGTCCATGCAGCAGTCAATCTCCCATCACCTGCTTCATGTCAGGCACGTCCCATTTCCTCTCTGTACTTCACTTTCTTTACCTGTGAAATAATAACCTTAGCTGTCATTCTCTGAGTGCTTGGGATGTGTCAAGTACATTTGAGGTATCATTCTTCCCTTTTAACAAAGAAAATGGATGTTGAATAACTTACCCATGATTACCCAACCAACAAAAGTCAGTACTTAAATTCAAGTTTGTTTCTAAAGGAGCTAGTACCCCTCTCTAAACCTGGCATATAGTCGAAGATCAATAAATTACAGCTATTATTATTATTCCAAAGTAACATTGACCATGGTTATTAGAATATGAGTTAAAAAAAACTAACTGTAAGACTTAGTTGTTCTTTTTTGCACTGACACAGGTGAAATGTAGATCTTTTGATTTCTAAGACTTTTCTTCTTTAGTGTCTTGGCATCTGACAGTCATTAACACTGGTTTCATGGATAGCCTTTGCTGGAGATGAAATTCATCTGTCTATGGGTTGGTTGCCTAAAGTCATGCTATTTTTACCCAATTGTCTTTGTATGTACTTATGGCTTTGTAATTGATTATGCTGATAAAATTTGGTATAGATAATATTTTCTCATCATTGAGTCCTATTCTTTCATCTAGGAGAGTTCTCTCGAAGTTCCAGTCCTGAACTAAACAAAACAGAACCCTCAAGATGTGTTCATTGTTCTCTCATATACAGGAGATGTTTGCAGAACACTCTTGCTGTCATCATCTGAATACCGCTGACTTTGAATTTCTTTATTTTGCCTGTAGAAATACAATGAAGTTGCTGTCTGATTGTTATTTATGTAATCACCAACAAATCATAGACTATGATGAATGGAGAGGGCTGGGCATCCATTTGTCAGAGAAGCTGAAAGATTTCTTTGCAGGAAGCAACTTCTCACCTACACAGGTGGGGCACTGAGCATGTGACCACTCCCAAGAGCAGAGGGTATTTATTTTATTTAAAGATGCTTAATTATTTTTACTCTCAAGGGAGAGACAATCTAAACGCTGAAGATTAGTGCTAAAGATTCTAAACCTCAGGGCCATGTGTCAAATCTCTCTGAAATGAGGATATACCGAACTAGCACAATGTTTTGTTTTGTTTTCATGAATTTTAAAGTGTTCCCAGTCCAAGCATTTCTTAATTGAGCACAGAACCCACTATTCTATATCTAGCCAGCTGTCTTCATTCATTCATGTTATCTGCCTGCTCCTTGAAGACAAGCAAGCTGTCATCTTTGAAAGAGTGACCCCTATTTTCTATGCTTCCATAGTGTGCGAAATACATCTTTGGTCTCAAAACAGAACTGAGAGTTAGGTGTTAGCATCTTCTATTTACAAATGAGAAACTGAAGCTCCAAGGGAAGAACTGGCCCAAACAAGATAACTAATAACTACCACCACTGACAATGAATAGGTCTCATTTTACTAGGCTCTGTGCCATCTGGCCCCTGGTGTCAGACTTTTAGCAGTCTATCAAGTCCTGCTCAATTCCATGTCTTGGACTTATTCTTTCATACGAACAAACAAGACACCTTACTGGTGTTCTCACAGACATCATCATCATCTAACATTAAGTGAATCAAGATCCTGACTTGCCTGCAGGGATCCCCCACCGCATTGCATTCATCTTTGGACCCAAGGTTTTCTAGTCATGTTTCCGAGATAATTATTAAAGAACTTGTTCCGGTCAGCCAAGAGAAGGCCTGGGGTAGGACTTGCATAATGTCCGTATTCAAACAGCTGAAACTCCAAAAAAGAGTCGATATGTGTCTGTGGTTCCTAAGGGCAAAGTCAGGCGGATTTGTACTGGAAGAACTCCAACTAATCGGGGCTGCCCATTCATTTTAACGTCAAATCCATGCCTCCGCGCCTTGATTTCTCCCCAGACTCCAACGCTAAGACTTCCACCGGCAAGTAGGGACCTAAGTTCACGGCGCTCGCGTCCCCACCAGCAGCCAGCGGCCCCAGATCTGACCCCTGAAGGACACGCCCCCGCGCTCGGGGACGCGGCCGCCGTCTCCTAGCAACGCGGACGCTGAGCATGAGGACGCCCCGGAGGCTCTGAGCTCTGAGCTCAGCCCTGTCTGGGTGGACCTCTGCTATGGCCTCCAAACAAAGCAAAAAGAAGGAAGTGCATCGTATCAGCTCGGCGCACGGATCGGATAAATCTAAAGAGTAAGGAACCTCAGCCTGCCCATCCCTCCTCTGGCCTAGCCCCTAGATCTTACCACTCCTTCTGGGGCCGCCTCCTTATAGCAAACTGCCAGGACAGGAATTCCTGGGGCCTTCTCAGCTTCTCTCCCTGCTTAATCTCATACTACTCCCATCCCCAAGCCACAGGCCCCCTTTGCCGGTCTTGATTCACTTTCTTTCCCAAAGCCCCTGGTCTTCTTGCTTTGGGTGTCTGGCTGAGTTTGTGACTCCTATGGGTGAATCTCCCATCACTTATCCTTCCTTTCCTTCATAGCCCACTGAGGCGGTTTAAAAGGCTGTAGCTTCCTTAATAAAGAGGCATATCTCAAAAGACTTCCAGTTAAAGCCACATCTGCCTGACCTCTTCCAGAGAGATAATGGAAGAGAAGTGGGGAGGGGCGGGGAGAAGGAGAAAGAGAGAAAGGAGAGAGAGTGCGCTTTTTCTTAAGTGATTCCCTAGTTTGCATCTGCCTGGTCCAACAACGAAGAATTTTACTCAGATAAAATCTGTCATAAAGTGACTTCAAAAACTTAAAACAATATAAATGTATAGTCCATGTTACTAATGTTTAGTCTGAGAAAGTACACAGGCCCTAGTTTGTGGAATCTTTATGATGCCTCTGTCCCAGGCTGGTGTTAAGTGTTCTTAGTATGTGCCTCCCTCTTATTATTTTTTCTTTGATCTTTTTTTTTTTTCCTCCAGAGAAACCCAGTTATCAATAGCACAGGATTTGAGCTGTTGTTTGAATTTGTAAGATTTCTAAAATTCATTCCAGCTGTGAGAGAATGCTAGCTGCCCAACAGTACTTCAGTAGGATCCTTCGTGTTCTTCATGCTATGCTTCTGGGGTGTGGGCAGTCAATGATTTTTAATTGGATTCTGATGTCCTTGATGTCAGCTTCTCTGTCTCCTTGCCTACCTGGGGAATTCCACACTGAACTACTGTTCACTGGACCCCAGTATTTAAACTCTTTCCTTTTAGGAACTCTTCTCCTGGACACATGCCTTTGTCTGTGATTCTCTAATATCCTAGTTCTGTCTCTCTCTCTCTCTCTCAATAGCAGGCTTCCAGCTACCCGGCAGATAAGCCATTCATGCTATTAATTTAAATTTGAGATGTTAATAGGTAAATGATTTTAACAGGATTGCTCTACATCCATGTACCAATCTAAGAAAGGCCATTTCAGCATTGTCTAATGGCCTCCATTCCTGTCAGCCCAAGGCCCTACTTATCAGTACCCTATTACTTCTCCGACTTAACCCTCTGCTATCTTCTTTTCCACTCATTGGTCACCTCAGGCTTGTTCCCACCAAAGGGCCTTTGCACTTGTTGTTTCCTCTGCTGGAAAGCTCTTCTGCCCAATTATCTGTATGATTTTTCTCATCTCTTTCAGGTGTTGACCTAAATGTCATTTTTCTCCTGTCAGCTTCTTTGGCCACTTGATTTAAAATGGCAACCCCCACTTCCCTGCCAAAACAACAACAGAACAAAAAAACCTCCCTGTCTTCCTTCACTTCTTTATTTTTCTTCATTGATTTTTTTTTCTCATTTAGCACACTATGTATTCACTTTTTTTGAAATTTTGGTTTTTCTTCTGTCTTCCCAACAGAATGTAAGTTCCATGAAGACTGTGATTTTTTTTTCTTTTCTATTTTATACACTGTTAAATCCTTAGTATTTAGAGTAGTTCCCGGGTCATACACAATAAGCACTTAAAAATATTTATTACATAAACAAATGAATAACAGTGTTTAAGGGATATTAAAGGGTGGTAAAAGAACACTGAATCCACCAAAAAAAAAAGTCAATAATAGATATAATTAATACACACTGAAGCCTCACAGCTCTTCAGAAGCTTGAGAAGCTCTTCTTTGACTTTAAGGAGTTTGTATCCCAAAAGAGATGAAATTGTTAACCTCCATAAAGAAACTTATCAAACTAGACAGCATAAAATACATTACATGACCTGTTCCTATGATGGTTGTATAACACAATAGGAACAAGGTCCCTGCTGATATAATGCTAACTCTCTTCTTCCTGGATCTTCCCATTTCTTTTTGAGATGATAATGTATTTCTAACATGTTTCTTTTTTATTTATCTGAATTAAATAATACCCGTAAAAATGTGTGTACATATTTGTGAAAATTGAAGAAGGGTAAATAGTAATTTTTTAAAAAGGCTGATTTTGCTAGAAACTACCTATTAAGCAGTAAACATCAAATCATTAGATTTTTCTATAACATTGAATGCTAGAAAGTGGAGTTAATTATAAATCAAGTTTATCTTCTAAGTTTAACTGAAGACCTAATCATAGATACAGGGCTAAGTCATAGACACAAGACAAAGTATCACCCAGCGTGAGGTATAAGGGATCAAAGCCTAGCAAGCCTCTAGTAAGACTGTTATTTAAGATGCACTGGGGAGTAAGTTTTTATGTCACTTTACCATACCTTGTGGTTATGCATCCCATAAATTCAGCCAACTGTAATATGGCCCTGGATATGGAAATAAGAGAAAAGTGTTCAGAGCCTTGAACATGGCCATTCCGTATAACCTTATTCTCCTACAGCTGCCATCTGTTTCATCTCTATATTGCTCTAAAATTAGTGTCAGATAGTGGATAAGGACCATGTCTGGTTTCTGTCTAGGATAGTAACTAGCACATAATGAGTGCTTGCCATTTGTTCCTAGTTTCATTTCCTATCTTGTTTTTTAGTGCTTCTAAATTTGATTGAAGCCCAGTTCTCCTTCTTTCTCCTTTTTGCTCTGCTGATGGCAAAGTCCAAAAAAATGAGATTTTACAACATATTTCAATTAAATCATCTGTGTCCAGAGATGATCAAACTCATAAGTAAATATGACTTTGAATCAGAAAAAAATACCAGATAAACTGAGTTGTAAGTTCTTATATTAGATTAAATTATTTCTATTTTTTTCTATTCTCTAATTCTCTGTATCAGCCAGTGTGAAATCGCTATTCTAGGTTTCACTCTGACACCAGTTCTTGGGTGACATTGGGTAAGTCATATCCTGTTCTGACATCTGACTTTCTCATCTTTAAATGGAGGGCCCTTTAGCCGGGCTCGGTGGCTCAGCCTGTAATCCCGCGCCTTTGGGAGGCTGAGGTGAGTGGATTGCCTGAGCCTGAGGGTTCGAGACCCGCCTGGGCAGCAAGACCTCATCTCTACAATAAATCAAAAAATGAGCCGGGCGTGGTAGCGCGTGCCTGTAATTCCGGCTACTCAGAAGGCTGAGGCGGAAGGATCGGTGGAGCCCGGTAGGTCGAGGCTGCGGTGGCCGGGAGCGGCCACTGCACTCCAGTCTGGGCGACAGAGTGAGACTCCAACTCAAAAAAATAAAATAAAATAAAATAAATAAATAAATGGAGGGCCCTTCAATTAAAATTGCTCTCATGCCAGCACTCCCTGTTTTCCCTTCCCTGCTTTATATTTTCCTCCAGCTCTAAACTTCCATGATTCTATCAGATTTTTTTTAACTCCACTGGGTTTATAATAAGTGAGGGAATTTTGTCATAGTAGCATGTTTAAAATCATGATTTAATTGATTTAAGTTATCATCTTTTAACATAATTTTAAACATAGCAACTATCACAGATTATACCTTGAGTTATCAGTATGTGTCTTAGTTTGAACTGTTATAACAGAATATCATAGACTGGGTAGCTTAAACAACAAACATTTATTTCTCACAGTTCTGGGGGTGAGAAATCTACAACTGGCATATTAGAGTGCCAGGATGGTCGGGTTCTGGTGAGGGCCCTCTTGATTCACAAATATCTGTCGTTTTCTTGCTTCTTCATATGATAAGAGAGAAGGCTGGTTCTCTTCCTCTTCTTATAAGGACACTAATCCTAACATGAAGGTCTCACTCTTATGACATGATTACCTTTCAAAGACCCCATGTTCTAAAAACATCTCATTGGGTGGTGGTACCTCAATGTATAAATTAGAAGGGGACACAGACATGCAGCCTGTAATAGTATCTAATGATAATTAGCAATGATAAGTAAATTTAAATTAATTAATTAATCAAATTGATTTGAAAACCAGTAGGCACTACAAAGATTCCCTCATCATTTAGATGCCAGTGGAAAGGTCTCCAATGATAGCAAGACAAAAATTTGATCCTGTTAGAGTATTAAAATATAAGTTTCTGTAACTCATAGATGATCAACAGAAATAAAGGAAGGCATGCGATTTAAGCATCAATAGTCATTAGAAGCATTAATGCATACACTTTATACGCTACAATATTTGTAACTTTAATGGGCAATTTGAGACAGAAACATAATGTTTATAGTCATGAAATTTTATTCCACTTTTAATAGCACATTCAAATCAAGATTGAAAAATGAGTAATTTGTTAAACTAACAAGTACTGTGCAACTTTCTAGAATTGTAATGTTGAAATATTAGTAATTTTTCAAAAACAGAATGAAGTATACTTTATAATCCTCAATTTAATCTACTATTTTATGATTGAAATGCACATTTCAATTTTATAGAACTTTCAAAAAAGATCAACATATCTGTCTATATGAAATTTGAAAATAGGACTATTACAAAAGTTGAATTATGAATAATTCTATGAAACAACATAACTGGAGGAATAAATACATTATAGAGTATTAAATTAAAGGGCTGGTTCAATGAAACCATGGTTCAATGGTTGGTAAATAATATCTTCTTCCACCTGTAGAGATCAGAAAAGAAATCCCTAAAAAGAGAGCAAGTCAGGGGTGATCTTAATAGCTCCAGGTCCAATCTTCACAGTTCACACTGGAAGGCAGAGGTGAAAATTGGAAACTGTGGTGGAAACAACTCAGGAGTCACACTGAGTTTTGTGATTTCTCCAGGTGACCTCTGTGGACCTCAACCACTGAGGTCAATTAACACATGTAAAAGGTCAACTTCAGTGACAGAAATTTCCTCAGAGGATAGCCTATTTTTTATGCTTAT